TCAGTCAGACAGTCAGACACTCAATCAGTCATTAATTCATTCATTCACTCAGTAATTCAGTCAGTCAGACAGTCAGTCAGTCAGACATTCAATCAGTCAGTCAGACAGTCAATCAGTCAGACAGTCAGACAGTCAATCAGTCATTGATTCATTCATTCAGTCATTCATTCACTCACTCACTCACTCAGACAGACAATCAGCCATTCAGTCAGTCAGTCAGTCACAGTTAATTTATTTGCCAGCTATCTCACTGAGGACATTTGCAGGCGCATTTGCCTAATGGCGGGCATTAAAAAAAAGTTGTAAAATTGACTGTGGTCACCTGGTAACCGGCTCAACAACTGCAATGATTTAACGACCATAATCCCAGGCTTAGTGATGGTCATAAGTCGAGGACTACCTGCTCTGTTAAAGGACCTCTCTTAGCATCGAGGCCCTTTGTACAGTTTATACAGTTTAGCTCCGCTGAGTCAGCAAAGATTTACCCATCCTTGTGTAAATTCAACAACATACCAACATGGTGTTAGCAAGATGGGAGAAACCGGCGATTCGGCTTTCCGTTTCATTTGACATCCGTGTCTTGAACATGCCGCTGAATGATCCCCGCCTCCTTTTTACATACCTATCCTCCACGGCCATTTTGAACCCCATGGATACACCCTGCCTCCCTTTTTTTCCCTCTAGTTTATTCCTTTCTTTTTTTTCCTTCCTTCCTTTCTTCCTTGGCTCACTAAAAGGCAACCAGGCGGAGGTTTTGTGGCGAGGGAGGCCCTGAGGACTAGAAACTTGACTTTCAACCCATGTTCTCTCTCTTTCTCTCTCTCTCTCTCTGCTTCTCCCACTTCCTCATAACCTTCCCTGCAGTGAGTTCGGAAGTGGGCCGGGCCGTCTGGCTGCGTTTCTCCCCGCCGTTGCCCTCCGCCGGCCCCCAGCCCAGTTTCATGGCCCACTTGGCCGGGGCCATTGTGGGCATCAGCATGGGGCTGACCATCCTCCGCAGCTACGAGGAGAACCTGCAGGATCAGTGCGGCTGGTGGGTGGTGCTCCTCTCCTATGCCACCTTCCTGGTGTTTGCCGTCTTCTGGAACATCTTTGCCTACGACCTTCTGGGGACGCAGATCCCGTTGCCCCCGTAGCCTCCTGGGCCCAGCCCTGGTTCTCTTGGCATCTGCTGTGACCCTGGAAGGCGCCCAAACCTTGCAGGGGGTTCGAAACCGGGTGGGGGAATTAAAGAAAAAAAAAGGGTGGGGGGGCTGGGCGGCCCCCCTCGAGATGGGGGGAAAGCGGAGCATGCCACCCTCGCCTGGCACGGCAGAGCGCTGTGATCCCATCGGATGCTGGAAAAAAAAAACAAAGCCAGGCTAGAAGCCGGCGGAGGCAGGAAAGGCTGGGAGGTGGGTCAGTGAGCGCGGGGGGGGGGGGGGGGGGGGGGGGGGGGGGAGCCAGCTTGGCTCAGCGGCGTCCTCAGTGCCCCTGACCTCACCTGCAGAAGGGGGGCTTGGTCTCCCCGAGAAGAAACACAAACACAAACAAACAAATGCAAAATTCTTTCGGCGTGTGCACGGGGTGACTCTTTTCGAGGCATGAGGATCTCTAGGGTTTGGAGGGGGGAGGAGGGAGGTTATGCTGCCCCCTGTGTCTTGGCCATTTGAGGGAAGGAGGCTTTCCCGGCCATGGCCAGGCTGGGTCCAGCCTTGGGTGACCCGCTTCTGTTGCTAAGGCTGTAGGAGGTGCCCTCAGCGGATTCCCTGGGTTGTTATTGGACTGCATGGTTTCCTTTCCCTTCTCCTCGCCTTCCCATTCTCGTCTCTTCTCCTCCTTCTTCCCCTGTCCTCCTTCTTCTGCTTCTACAGTCATCCTTGTTTCCCTTCTTCTTCTCCTCCTCATCCTCCTCCTTTCTGTTCTCGTCTCCCTTCTCCTTCTCCTATCCTCTTCCTCCTTGTCTCTCTCCTTTTCCTTGTCTCCATTCTCCTTCTCCTGTCATCTTCCTTCCTTTTCCTTTCCTTGCATTTCTCTTCCATGTCTTCTTCCCTTCCCTTCATATCTTCTTCCTTTCCTTCCCTTCCTTCCTTTCCATCTTCTCTTCCCTTCATCTCTTCTTCCCTTCCCTTCATCTTTTCTTCCCTTCCCTTAATATCTTCTCCCTTCCCTTCCTTTCCTTTCCTCCTTCCCTTCCCTTCATCTCTTCTTCCTTTCATCTCTTCTCCCTTCCCTTCCTTTCCTTTTCTCCTTCCCTTCATCTCATCTTCCTCTCATCTCTTCTTCCCTTCATCTCTTCTCCTTTCCCTTCCCTTCCCTTCCCTTCCTTACCTTTTCTCCTTCCCTTAATATCTTCTCCCTTCCCTTCCTTCCTTTCCCTTCCCTTCCCTTCCTTTCCTTTCCTCCTTCCCTTCCCTTCATCTCTTCTTCCCTTCATCTTATCTTCCTTTCATCTCTTCTCCCTTCCCTTCCTTTCCTTTTCTCCTTCCCTCAATGTCTTCTCCCTTCCCTTCCTTTCCTCCTTCCTTTCCCTTCCCTTCATCTCTTCTTCCCTTCATCTCTTCTTCCCTTCATCTCTTCTTCCCTTCCTTTCCTTCCCTTTGCTTTCCTCCTTCCCTTCCCTTCCTGATCAAAGTCTCAGCTCGGGCTCTCCAGATCTCTAGGGAGGGCTGAGGGGAATCCCTGTCTGCCAACCTAACTCAGAGGTCCCGGCTCAACACATGGTGTCCAATATTTCCAAGCTTGTTCCGTAGCCCGATTTAGCATGAGAACGCTTCCGGCATCAGCTTCTGGTCTCCACAGTTCCAGCTCTCAAAGGGGGTCCTCCGATGGACGTCTCATCAGCCGAAAGGCCTCTGGTTCCGGTATTTTCCCCCAAGCTCAGAATGCCCTTGTCCCCCTCCTGCAAATCTCACCACTCAGGCTCCATCAGCAAGCACCCGTTCCATCCTGACGGAATAGCGACCGAGCAATTGTTCCTGGGCAGGTTAAAAGTTTGGCTTGCGTGGGCCTGCTTTCACAATCATCAGGGCTTAGGCTCATCAGGGATAGCCAATTTCTAGAATATTTTTTTTCCCCAGGGGGAGGGAATGTAACGGGTGTATAGATGGGGGAGGGGGAGGTTCTCCGAGTAGTTGGAAAGGAGCGTGTCTAAAGTGTTATTTCTTTAGTATTTTTTTCCCCCCATATGAATTCTCCCCTGATTTGACAATCTGGCTTTCAAATAAATAAATTTTTTTTAAAAAAAGCACAAAAGCACTTTGTTGGTGGTAGAAGGAGAGGGAGACACCCGAGTGGAGGAGTTTGGCTTGAACCTAAAGACCAGCCTCCTTCAAGGCTTCCCAATCATTTCGATCTCCTCCTGACCTTTGGAGCAAAACAGGGTTATGGCCATTATCTTTCCCAGTGGCCCCACTTCTCCTTGACGTCCAGGATAGCCTTCAGACCTCTAGGGAAGGCTTGTAGCAATGCTGCAGGCAGGGTCCATCCTACAGAGATATCAGTAGCACTTCTCACGATCTCCTTGGATGGAAAGTACGCAGTTGCAACCGCGATGCAGGGTTTGTCCACGGATGTGCAATGCCAGGCAACTGCTAAAAACATCTCCGAAGCCAGCAAGTTAAACTCCGCGGTCCAGCTAACATTTGAAGCGATCCACACGGGGCTTTTAATCCACGTGCTGGCTTTCAAACCCAATTTGGGGTACTTCTGCCCTGGAAGTCGTTGGGGCAGAGTGAAGCCAGGAGTTAAAAAGGCCAGTGGCTGGCAGGTGTTTTTCTGCATCATCCACCCTCTTTCTTCTTTCTTCTCACAGCTGGCTCTTGCAAACCCCTGATGGAGAAGTAGACAAGGGAAGTGAGCGGTTGGTGGAAGAAATGGAGGGGAAGGGAAGGGAAGGGCCCTGGGGGGGAGGGTGGGGTAGAAACGGAAAAGTTGTTAAAAAGCAATGCACTAATCCAGATTAAAAATGTGACTGGGGGCGGAGAGGAAGATGTATGTATGAATAAATATTTTGCACACCATCTGCCTGTTTGTTTTCTTGTCGCTCCTAAATTCCCAAAGCTGGCTAAACGGATGGGTTACTCACAGTGAATGGGCGGCAGATGGTTCCGAAACACGTTTCTTCTTCCAAAAAAAAAAAGTGATGGGGGAAATATATAAATGGCACCAGTTCGGAAGAATCCAGAGCCAATGGTGGTTGGTTTTCAATACCGCTGAACTTGATTTTGGCTTAATTCGGCCCTTGCCTGCATTTGCAGAATATTCTAGATCAGTGTCTGTCAACTTTAAGGCATCTCCCAGAATTTCCCAACCAGTTTGAAGATGGGTGGACTTCAACTCCCAGAATTCCCAAGTTAACTTGAAGATGGGGGGACTTCAACTCCCAGAATTCCCAAGTTAACTTGAAGATGGGTGGAC